TATTTAAGAAATAATTGCATTGCACTCCTTGTGTATACAAATACCCACTACCCGAAGGATGGACATATTTGAAACACGGACTTCGGTGGGGGGGGAACCAAGGGCAACACACGTAACCTAAACATATGTACACCCATAATTTGCTGAAATAAAAAAAAGAAAAAGAAAAAGAAATAATTGCAAACTTATTTCATGAGTTTAATACAACATTTGCCAAGGATAGCCTAAGGGAAGAAAATTACAGACCAATCTTAACTTATGTGCCCAGTTTCAAAAATCCTGAATAAAATGTTAGCAATCCAAGAGAGCAGTGTATTTTAAAAAAATAACTGAAATTCATCTGAGAAATATGTCAGCATACATTATACTAAGATATTCTATACTACATTAATAAATTAATGAGATAAGTCATAGGATTATCAACAATGGCAGAAAAAGCATATGACAATATTGAACGATAAAACATTTTTTCAAGATACTAGAAAACTACAAATAGAAGAAGGCTGATTGAACCTTATTAAGCTCATGTACCATATAACAACATTTTGATCCATGACGTACCATATATATGATGGTAGTCCCATAAGATTATAATACCATATTTTCACTGTACCTTTTATATCTTTAGATGTACAAATACTTACCATTGTGTTACAGCTGCCTACAGTGTTCAGTACAGTCACATGCTGTACAGGTGTGTAGCCTTAGAGCAATAAGCTATACAATATAGCCTAGAAGTGTACTAGTCTATACCATCTAGGTTTGTGTAAATTCATTCTGTGATGTTTGCAGGATGACAAAATTGCCTAATCTGCTTTCTCAGAACGTGTCCCCATCACTAAATGGTGCATGACTGTGCTTATCAAACACACACTGCAAGTATGTCTATGCCAAGGCTTTAGAAGCATTCTTATTAAGGTCAGGGACAAGAAAAGGATGTCAAATATCTCCTTTACCATTCCATCTCATATTTCATTGGCCCAAGTCAATGAAATAAAGTAAGAAAAAGAAACAAGAGATAGAAAGTATAACATTTTTTTCTTTGAAATTGTTGAGATCTCTTTGTTGCCCCAATTCATAGTCAAGATGCAAAACTGTTCTGAATTTCAAATGGTAAGACTCTTAATGTAGAAAATCCAAAAGAGCCTACAGAGGAAATATGAAAAATACGAATTTGGCAAGTTTGCCGGATACAAGATCGACACACAATAATCAATAGCATTCCCATGTGCCACAATAACTAATTGAAATACAGACTATAGAAAAATATTCTATGCATAATAGCCATAGAAACTACAAGTTTCCTGAAAATAAACCTAACAAAAATGTTCAAGACTTGTATGGATAAAACTAATAAGATATTACTGAAAACCATAAATAAATGGGGAGAGTCAGCATGTGCAGTAATACAACAGTTTGATATATAAAAAGTCAGTCGTTCTCAGCTAACTTATAAATCAACCGTGTTTCTGATGAAAATCACAACAGGCTTTGTTACGGATCTAAATGAGAAGATTAAAGGATCCAGAAAACAGGCAATGTTTAAAGACAAGCAAGGTGGCTATCCTATGAGCTATCAAAACCCCGCTATTAAGACCATACAGTCTTTTTTTTTATTTCTTTTTTTTTTAATTTCAGGATATTACGGGGGTACAGATGTTTAGGTTACGTATGTTGCCCTTGGCCCCCTCCCTCCCCAAGTCCAAGTTTCAAGTGTGTCCATCCCTCGGATGGTGCGCACTGCACTCTTTGTGTATGCATATACCCGTCCCCTCCCCCCTGCCCGACATCCAATAGATGTTATTCTTATATGTGCACTTATGTGTTGATTAATGCAGAACAGAGAAACCAATGAACCAGAATGGAGAGCTCATCAAACACCAGGCATACATGCAAATTGTAGGAAAGAACTCTTCATGAAATAAAACAAAGTTTATCTATATTGAGGGAAAACAGATTCCTACCTCGCACAGTACACCCAAATAAAATCTAGATGGATTAAAGACCTAAAAATGTCAAAAACAATACTTTAGAATTTTTAAGAAATATGACATTTTTATGAACTCTAGTTAAGGAAAGATATCTTAAGATATAAAAGCACAAACCATAAACAAGATCAATTAATATGGCTGTATTTTAAAAACTATTTATTTATTTTTATTTATTTATCTATTTTAGAGACAGGATCTCACTCTGTCACCCCAGCTACAGTGCAGTGGCATCATCATAGCTCACTGCAGCTTCAAACTCCTGGGCTCAAGGGATCCTCCTACCTCAAACTCCCGAGTAGCTGGGACTGCAGGTGCATGCCACCACGTCTGGCTAATTTTTCTATTTTTTGTGCAGATGGCGTCTCACTCTTGCTCAGGCTGGTGTTGAAACTCCTGAGCTCAGGCAATCCTCCTGCCTCAGCCTCCAGAACAGCTGGGACTACAGGCACATGCCGCCACCACACCCAGGTGATTAAAAAACACTTTTTATTAACCAAAGGACATTATAAACATAGTGATTATCCATAATGTAGGAGATAGTTTCAAAATTTATAACCAAAAATGGATTAGCATCTTGTATAAGGATCACGCATCATCAATGGAAAAAAAACGGAGACGAAAGACTACGAACAGGTAATTCAGATTAAAAAAAATCCACAATCAACACGTGAAAACTTCACCACTAATGAGGGACATTCAGTGCTATTTAACTCCCAATGCCCAGGAAAAAATTTTAAAATGTCTAGACAGTGCCATGTCTTTGCTGGGATATGGAAAATCAAAACCTCAAACCCTGCTGGTGAGAGTGGAAACTGCCACAATCACGTTGGGGAACAATTTGGGCCACATTTAACAATTTCAACATCGCACATTCCTAGGAGCCAGCAATTCCTCTTCTAGCCACAGACCCTGGAGAGACTCTTGCCCATGTGCACAGAGAGACATAAGTAAGAACAGGCACTGCAGTTTCGTGTCTTAGGGTGGAAGCAACTAAATATTCCCCAATAGAAAAATGAAATTAAAAAAAAATGAATACTATGTGAATTAATTAAATACTATGTGAATTAATTCACTAAGTGAATTAATTAAATCTACATGCTTTATCATGGACTAACCTCAAAAACATAGTATGGAAGGAGACAAAGAAAAGTGCAGAATTGTATGTGCTGTACATGGTTAGAGTCGAAGTGTACACACGGGAGTTACACGTTTCAACCTCAGGATGGTGGTTCCCTCTGCAGGGGTGGGGAGGGAGGGCAAAAGGAGCAGAGTGAGACTTGGAAGGGACACCAAGAGGACATCGACTGTTTTTGAAATGTTTTGTTTCCTTAACAACGGCTGAATCAAACATGGCAAAATGTTAATTTACGTGAACCCTGGGTGCTTGGTGTATAAACACCAATTACATTATCTTTTCTACTTTTCTAAAGATTTGGCAAAGGTCATAATGAAAACATTTTAAAATCATCAAAGGCGATAATTTATTAAAAAGACTCCAGCTTGATGACTAACACAAAATTGTCATTTTACTCATCTAAATTTACCTTCCCTTTACATGTAACATTTATTTTGGCAATATTTATTAAAGCCTCTCTACTGCGTTACCTACTTTGTGCTCTCAAGTGAACTGTGCTGAATGGAAGGCAACCTTGTCCCGGGGGTTCCTGACTATCATTCTAGAATCTGGGACTGGGCTGTGCTCTCTTGCACTGACACTAAAGGAAACCAATCTCAGTGGCTCTGAATTCAATGGTCCCAATTGTTTGGTGAAACTAAAAAACCCAGAGAAGAAGGAAGATTACATAGCTTTCCTGTTGATTCTCTGGGCTTCTAACGCTCCCTCCCGTTGCTATGGTGGCCCTGCCCCGGAATTCACTCAGTTCATCCGTTTGTTTTCAAATACATAATAGCACTGATTTTGTCCATGGCCTGGCTGTCCCAGGTGACCATGTGAAGTGGACCCACGTTCTTTTGCAAAGGAAGCAAATGAATTTGGGAAAGGATATTGATACAAAGACCATTACTAGTCAGCAGACATTGAGCCCACATTAAGCAAATACAATAAAATACACTCCTGTGATACTTTAAAAGAAACTGTGGAAGCCACAGGCTTTTCTCTCCAATGTTGGGATTTCATATAGCAGCGGCACCCGCAGGGAATGGAATATTTGGGGAATGAAAGAACGATTCCTTGCAACTCTGAAATCAGAAGCTGGCTCTGAGCTCTGCTGGCTACTTTAGTACAGCAGCGGCTCTCTGTAGGGAGGGAAGCTGATTTTGTCCCCAAAGGACGTTTGGCAATGTCTGTAGACATTTCTGGCTGTCACAACTGGGGTGTGTGCTTCTGGCATCTAGTGGGTGGAGGCCAGGATGCTGTTCCACATCATACAATGCACACAACAGCCCCACCACAGAGAATGATCCAGGTCCAAATGTCCACTGCACTTGAGACCCCTGGTGCACAGTGGTGGCAGCAGCTTCGCAAGGCTCTGCTCCCCAGAAGCTCAGAGTGGTTACCTAGCTCACTCGAAACTGTGTGCACAGAATTAGCCCAACTGGGACTTTAAGATGCATTTGTCTGACTCTAACCCTGGCTGCTTCTAGCAAAAGTCAGATTCTCACTAGGGCAGCCATGAGCATAGTGGCCATTCACACTCACCCCATTAAAGCAAGGACTGTCTATACTCTTACCTCAATGGTTGCTGAAGGCAAGACAACCTCATCTATCGCTCTGTTTATTCCCATGGGTTCTTCCAAAAGCCCTGCTGTTTGCAGGCAGCTGAAGGTCTCCTTGGGAGAGCCAGTGAGCATGGGAGAAAGACAGTTGGTGGAGAAAGGGGCATGTCGGGGCAGGTGGGACAGGCCAGCCAAAACGCCTGTTCCTTGGCCTTTCCTGAAGACCAGAGGATGGTTCCCCTCCAGCTGGTCTCCCTATGAGTCTGTCTCTCTAATAGGGCCTGAAGACAGGGAGCGTGTCCTCCCAAATGTCTGCTGACGTCTCCCACTCACCTGATCACAGAGGGTTCCGATCAAGCCTTCCAAATCCTGCTTCTCGTGAAGGACCATTTGCTTCTCTTCATACTCTTGCTGCAGCTGCATTTCCAGCTGACGAAGCTACGGGACACAGGGCACAGGGATACACAGTGTGAAAGAGCTCAGTCTGGACAAATCCCACAAGTCAGGGACCCTGGGGAGGAAGGAGGGATGTGGAGCTCGTGGCTTTATTCCACAAAGGCTGCCTTGGTGACTGGGAGGGAGTGTCTCTGTTGGAGAACTCGGGAGCCTAAAAGCTTGGGGACTGGACAATGATGGGGAGCCCCTTGCCATTGACTGTGAGGCCCCTCCCCCAGCTCCCCAATGGAACAGGCATCTTCCTCTTATAGTCACGGCCACTGCTTGAATATTTGAAAGTCTTGGCACTGGGATTTTTCAAGGCTCTGAACAACATTATAACCAACATATTAAAATGCATCTACTTCCCTTATTAAATGTATACCATGGTGCAAAAAAATGTTGCATTTGAAATTATTTGGTGTTAAAAACTACATGTGTATCTCCAAAATTCGTATGTTGAAACCCTAACTCCCAGTGCAATGGTCTTTGGAGGTGAGGCCATAAGGAGGTAACTAGGTTCAGATGAGGCCATGAGGGTGGTGCTCCCATGATGGGATTAGTGCCCTTATAGGAAGAGATAGCAGAGAATTTGCTTCCTCTGTTTCATTCTCTACCGTGTGAGGCTACAACAAGGAGGCGGCCGTCTGCAAGCCAGGAAGGGAGCCCTCACCAGACACTAAATCTGCCAGCACCTTGACTTCAGACTTCCCAGCCTCCAGAACAGCGAGAAATAAATGTTTGTTGTTTAAGCCACACAGAGTCCACAGTATTCTGCTATGGCAGCCTGAACAAACCAAGACATTTGACTATGAGCAACTCATTTAATTTACAATTGGCTCTGATTTCTCCGTGATTGCCCAGCAAACACAGGCATTCCCCACTCAAGTGAATACGCCTCTGTAGTTGTGCTTTGCAGACACCCACCCCCAGCCTCTTTCGTGTATGTTACCTCATCCCCTCCATCCTTCTTCTCTGCCTCATGCCAGGGATCCTATTTCACAGGTGAGCAAACTGAATCCCGGGGGATCTGAAGTGCATAGCTTGCATCAGTTGTTGTTTAGAGGAGTTAGTGTCCTGTCTCCTGGCCCCAGCTCTCTCTGCCACGCAAGAGAGCCCCAGCCTTCCCACCCAGGTCACTAACAATTGATTTCCTGCCACAGTGACTGATAGACTGAACAGAACAGCCACTAGAATGTGAAGTCAATGTCAGTGTCTGTCATAGGAGAAAAACACCTTTCTCTGACTTCACTCTCTCCCTTTATAAATCTGTTCACGGAAAAGCCTCGGTGGGGTCTGGGTCACATCTCCAACTCATCAGAGCCCTGGTCCCGGGCACACACACCATTCCCTGAGGCATTCTTTCAATAGTCCAGAAATTTGTGCAACCTTCATCTGAAGGAACTTGGGCAGGGACAGCGGGCGTTCATCTCCTGACCCATGGAGGGGAAAAAAAAAATACTGATTGATGGTCAATTCTATAGAAAGCGAGTTCATTTCAAAACTTTCTTTTAAGAGTGAGAACTACAAGGCATTCTGCTCATATCTGTTTTTAGAATGAAGACTGGAAAAGCTAAAACTCATTTTGAAAAATACGTAAAATAATAAAAACTATGTAACAAGCAAGGCAAAGTTTTCTGGAGTGTGTTTCTGTAGAATATTCCCATGGTGGTGTTTGCACGTATGATGGAAGGGGGAGGAGGTCATGCTAGAATAAGTGTGGGAACCTGTCAAATGAGGCTTAACCCAAAGATTTCTAGCAATCCCACTTGGAGGATTCATCTTACATTCCCATCGGTCAATACGCCTATTAAGATGTTTATCTCAGCATTGGTTATAATAGCAGAAAACCAGAAACAAATTAAATGCCCGATGAGGGAGATGTGTTGAATAAATTAGAGAACACGCTTAGGGTGTAATACTGTTAAGTCATGAAACATACAAGTTAGATACGTATTTACAGACATGAAAAGAGTCCACGGCAAACTGCTGAGTAGAAATAGCACGCTTCAAAACAGCATGACCTCATTTGGTGAGAGCGATGCCCCTGCAAATACGTATGTGTGTATGCTCAGTGAAAGAACGAGGTAAAAGAGCATTGAAAATAGTAATAACGATGGTTCCTAGGTGGTAAGATTTCAAGGGTTTATTGCTTTTTTTATACACTGTTTGGAATGTCTGCAGAGATCTTGGATAAAATGTAAGAAATGATTTTAGCTGCGATGGAAATAGCCAGAAGGGATTGGTCCCATTATTGAAACTAAGAATCCCTTACCCAAGGCATCAGTCACACATGGCATTATGGGTTCTTAGTAGAAATCTTGGCATGATTATGCTGGAAAGTTCCAGAGGCTTCTAGGAATTCCAAGATCGTATTTAAGATAGGTACTTCTGCTCCTGCACCCTTGGAGGTACCTCAGGAGCTAAGGTCTCAGGTGCTTAGAGAAAGAGCCTGTCCCCGGACCCCAGACCCTGGCCTCCCCCTCACTCTAAGGAAGAGGACATCCAGATTGGGCCTGCCAGGCCCCAAGGGCGCAGCTGTGCTCACTGCTCACGTACCCGCTTCTGGCAGGACTGACGGACATCCTCCAGTTCTTCCTCCTGGTCCTCACGGTCCTTCTGATGCATCTGCTTCATCCTCTCGATCTCCAGCTCGAACCGCTGGCGTAGCTGGTGGGGGGGGGCGGCAGGGACAGTACGTGAGGGTGACCCTGTCCCCCTCCCCTTGCCCTCCATGTCATCTCTGGCATTCTAAATTGCATTTTTCACTTGTGCAATGCATCGGTGAGAGTCAAGTTCTCTCCCTAGGCACCCCAGAAGGTCAGAAATGGTAGATGAATAGCCCAAATGCCACCTCTATCCCTTCTTGAGCTTGGAACAAGCCTCACTAATCAATCACACTGTCCCACTGAGTTTAGCCTCAGAATTCTTCTCAACACTCTTAAGATGAAACAAATTTCTCATCCCGGGAGCAGGCATCGGCAATGGTGTGTGTGTGTGTGTGTGTGTGTGTGTGTGTGTGTGTGTGTGTATGGGTAGAGCAATGGTAGAACAAAAGTTTCCAACGATATGAATGCCTGGAGAGGGAGGTAACTCGCCAAGATGTTACTTTGGACAATTCACGTCACCTTTGGATCAGTTCCCTCTTTCTCTGTAGAAAACAACCATCTTACGTCTACGGCCATACCACCCTGAATGCACCCGATCTCATCTGATCTCAGAAGCTAAGCAGGGTCAGGCCTGGTTAGTACTTGGATGGGAGAAAACAACCATCTTAGAATGCTACTATGAGTATTAAATGAGATGATTCATACGAAACGTCTAGCACAATGCCTGACACATAAATATTACTTTCTCTTGACCCATTAGTTTGAAAAGGGAGAAAAAAAATTATTCCCTCCCTCCCTGGCAGCCTGACATAATTATTAATAAGAGCTCCACAAAGGAGCTGAATCTTTTACATGAGAGTCCCCACACAGGCGCGCACAGCATGCAATGAGCTGTGCGTAACATTTAAACTGTGTGAAGTTGTAGAAAAGGTCCTAAAATGGAAGGCGAAAGTCATGGGTTCCAGTTCTAGTTCGAGACTTCACTTTCCTGATCTGCATAATGCAGAGGCTGGCCCGAGCCCTGGCGTCTCGAATTCTGTGGCACATTGGAATTACTAATGCATAATTAGAACATCCAAATTCCAGGCTTCACCCTAGATCTATTGGATCAGAATCTCCAGGGTACAAAGCCTAAGACTATATATACTTTAAAGCTTTCATTTATCTCTACTCTTTACTGTTATTGGTCCATGGAGAAGTATTCGAAACCCAGTAATATATGTGGATAACATTGCAGAAACAGTCACTTTATGACCATTTACTGTACTGTCCCGGCACCTCTCATCAAGCTTCCAAAACGTCACAACTTCTGTTTAACGTGGAAATTAACTTGAGAAAAAAAACCAATCGTGGTTTTTTAAAATGTTGATAAAATTCCCTGCTACATAGGACAGTAGTTAAGAGCAGAAAGGATAGTGAACAACAGAGCCCTTGTTACAGTTCCTGGCAGAAAGGAGGCTCACTTTAAATGTCAGCTTCCTTCTCTTTCTTCTTTAAAATGACAGAGCTTATACAAAGATAATCCAAACCGAGGAGGCTGAGCAAGTAAATACAATATTTCTTTTCCATTTTTTTCTAGCTTCTTGGACATTCTTGACATCTGCAATACCATTTATGTCAAACTTATATGAGTTAACATAAAATTCCCTGGAAAAAAAGTGCTATATTATCATCAATAAATATCTACTGGATGTCTATGAGGGCACAACACAGCATGAAGTCAGGGTGAGGCTGAAGATGGAAAAACGCATTGAGTCGATCTCACCTCCTGGGTAAGCCGAAGGTGGAAAATTGGGAAGCTGCGTTAGCTTTCGGGTCCCTGAGGTCATGGTAGTACATTTCTGCTTCCAAGCATGAGTGGTCCCCTGGTGGTATCTTAAAGAGTTAAGGCAATTTTTTAAAGTGCTTGCTTTATTCTTGGCTCTGTGAGGACCTTGCTCATCTAAAGAACACTGGGTTGCTGGAGGATGTTGCATTATCCTCCATGTCCTTTAAAGACCTACCCAGATAGGTCTCTACCTTCTTCGAGAACCTTCACAGATTCATAGCTGGGGCTGGCAGGAAGCTAGGGAATTGATAAGGTTCTTTATTTCATTGTGCAGAGGAGGAGACTGAAGTCTGGAACAATTAAGAGTTTTCCTAAGGTCACAGAGACAATGAGCTGTTCAAAGACCCCATAGTACATCTCCTTAAATGTCATATAGCTGTCCTGCCTCTGGGCCTTTGCACGGCCTGTTACCCCTGTCCGAAACTCTCTCATTTAGCCAACTCTGACTCGTCTTCTAGCTTTCAGCTTCAGTAAGTGTCACTTCCTCCAGGAAGTCTTCCCTGACCTCTCTCCCAACCCTGCTCCCATGACCAGATCTTCAAGGTAAGTGTTCTGTAACACTCAGAATGACTATAAACTTTGGTAGGGCAGAGGTGGTATCTGTCTTGTTTATCATTGCATGCTCAGTGTCACAGGAGAAGGTATTGACACAGAAGAAGGACTTAATAAATACGGTTGGTGGAGTAAGTAAAGGACGTGTTCTGTGTTTTTTGTTTTTCAGAGACAGGGTCTCACTCTATCTCCTGGGCTGGAGTGCAGTGGTTCTATCATAGCTCACTGCAGCCTTGAACGCCTGGACTCAAGGGACCTGCTCATGTTCTGTCTTCTTTGCTGCTCCCTAATGAGCATTCAAGACTCTGGACCCTGTTCGTCCATACCCACCACGCCCATGTCCGGACGCTCAGGAGGCTCTATCCCAATAGAGTGGCGTAACCAAGACGCAGGGGCCGGCACCCGGCTCATCCGCTCCCTCTCCAACAGATCTGCTCGTCTGCCTTGCACACCCACGACACCTGGTCAGACCTCCTTGTATAAGGGGGTCCCAGCCTTTAAAAAACCACTTAAAAATAACTGCCTTTTACAGAATCCCATATGAGAAATTTCTTTAGTGCTAAGTATCAGAAAAAGCCCTACTTCCCCTTGAAATATTGCTTTATTTTTTATCTTGGGGATCATAAAAAGCTTGTAACTCACATTTCCTTTTTCTCTCTGGCCACCAGGAATTTTAGAGCTAAACCATTAAGGGTGTAAGATCACATGTTTTGCATATCCGCATATTAATTCACTGTCCCCACACCCCCTCCTTAGCGTCTATTTTCATTTGTGCTTTTCTGATTCAGATTGCTTTATTTATATAGTTTCTGAATTTTATTACACATATATCCAGTAAGCTGCCTGAAATTCTTTACAGGACGAGGTGGGCATATAAATAAACAAGCGGACAAATAAAATGTTCACCTGGTGCTTTGTGGAGAGTGCTGGTACGAGAGTATTTGATATCCCTGTCTTACTCCCCTTAGTTATTTTATATTTGCCAAAGACTAGCACGCTGACCTTCCTTGAGGCTGTGCACAATGCCAGGCACGTAGTAGGCAGCAAAGCAGCGGGGGGTCAAATGAAGCAGGTTCCAAATCCCATCCCTGCCACTCACTCCAGGCCTCAACTTCCATATCTGTAAGGTGGACGTAATACTTGTATCTCCTCACAAAATGTTCTCGTGGAAATTCATGAGACGATGTGTGGAGAGAGCTTAGGGCTGAGTCCAGTACACAGACAGCACACAAAAAATGTTAGCTATTTGGTCAAGAGTTATTTTCAGCATCGACTATGTACCTGGCCTCATTCTAGGCCCTAGAAATACACCGAAAAGCAACATCAACAACAACAAACAAAACCTGACTCCATGAAGCTTATATCCTAAAGAGGGAGAAAGGCATTGAGCAAATTTTTAGAAAATACTGTCTAATATGATGGCAGGTACTAAGAAGGAAAGCAAACCAAGTAAGAGATGGAAAGTGGCCGTGGCATGGCAGAGGGGCTATTTGCAAGGTGATCAAGGCAGGTGTCTCTGAGGGTGGTAGGAGAGGGCTAGATCACGAAGGATCTTCATGTCAGACTTAGGAGATTAAAGATTCTCTGGGGTAATAGGGATCCATGGAAGGATTAGGAGTAGCCAAGCAAGGTGCCCTTGTTGCTGTTTTTAATAACTTCACTTTGCATTGCAGCCTGCACGGGACGAGGCTTTCCTACCTGTTCCAGCTGCTTGATGGTGTTTTCCTGCTGGTTCTGGATTTTCTGTTGCTCGAGGGCACCAGACTCCAGCTTCCAAAGCTTCTCCTTCAAGCCAGCGATGCAATTTTCCCCCAGAGAGGGAGACTTCAGCAGCTCCTGTTTATGATCCTGCAGCATCTTCACCTCCTGCTTCAGCTGCGAGGTTTCCTCCTCTTTTTGCTACAAAGTGAGCAGAGAATGGAGTTGCATGAGCATGCTCTCTTCCTCCCCCAGGACTATGTCTGCAACCTGCTGGAATACACTTTCCAGTTTCCAATGCCTGCCATCTCTGCTCTACCTCATGGCCCCTCACAGCACCCGCTGGGAGGGCACCAGCAAGAGCTGCTCTCAGGCATGGCAGGGGTTGGGTCAAGAGATGGGACTGGGGTAGAGCAACACCACTGCCCCTAGAGTTAGATCTCAGAGCGCATAAAGGAAGTGCTCAGCCCATCTATAAGGGAAATGTAGGCACATAGGTAAAGCTTCCCTGTCTGCCTGCTGAGGCTGGGGATGAGACAGCGGTGCCACAGAAGGATGAGGAGCAGCTGAGTGAGGCACCCATGTCATATTTTAATAAAATCCCTCTGCACTGGAACCTGTATGGGATAGGGCATTGCTCCTGGACAAGGCTATAGCCAAGTCACTCTCTGCTGAGCCTCCTGCACCTCCCAGGTAGACACCTTGGAACCTGTGCTGGTAACTGAAACAACATCATGACATCAAGTTCAGAAGGTCTGATTATCAATTTGCCAGCCACTGTTTGTTTTATTAAGACATGCTGGGACACACGACTCCGCTGCCTGACAGACCAGGACACCTGTGCGGGGTTCTCTCTTGGTCGCAGCCAAGAGCAAAGATGGCTCTGCGCCCCCCGCCCCTTACCTTCAACTGCTGCTGAATCTGGCCTAGTTCCCACCGGATGCTGGTGTTCTCTTGGGTCACTTTCTCGCGGAGGCCCTTCTCAAACACAGACTCCCCCAGGGCCTGGGCCAGCTGTAGGTCAAACCTGTCCAAAGCGGGACACATGTCAGGGCGCCACAGTGGGGGAAACTGAGGCAGGGCAGGGAGGAGCTGGAGGGAGGTGGTTCATTTGCCAGGAACCACAAGAAAGAGAGTGAGAGCGAGAAAGAGAAAGAGATTGAGAGAGAGGCAATGAAAAGATAGAGGGTTTGCTCAATGCTTTTATGTAAAGTTGTGGATGTGGTATCAAAATCTGGAATACCAGAGCAATTTTTAGGGTTTATATAAAGTTTCCACCAAAAAAGCTTGATACTTAACAAAAATATGACAAAAATACATGGACAAAAACTAAAATAGAATAAAACTATACACAGATATACAATAAAAGGTATACAGAAAAAGCTAACCTATCTGGTCTGTCAACATATGTCAAGACCCTTTAACTCTACCAAGCCCAGATTTGGCATCCAGTATGCACTGACCAATGAACAAATGAATGAATGTGTACATATATAGCACAATCAAGGTTATTCTGCATTTCATATTTTACATCATATTGTCTGGCTTATACCCTTCTACATCAGAATAAAGCATGCTAATTATTAATAAAATGCTGGACATTTATACAGTCAGTCTTGTCCCCATTTGTTTCCCAAGAAGAAAGTGCGAAGACTAGACAGTCCTACCAGTCATCCAGGGGATTAAGAAATGTCTCGTTAGGGGCTCTCCTGCCCCTCGTGATGGTAGCCACTGGGTGCAAAGCACATTCTTGACTTTACATTACTCCACTTGGTTGTCTCTGCCTTCTGGCCCCCATCACAGATGAGGAAACCGACAGAGGAGCCTTCACCAAGCCTCAGTAACGTGTGACTTTGAGTCACTTGCCCTTGGTTCACATGGAAAGTCCCATTGCTCCTAAGAACTTGGTATGGCAGAACTGAGCATGGAGTCTGGGCTTTGGTGGCAAGAAAGTCTCCCTTTTTATAAGGTTATCCAGTGTCCTTTAATACTAGATGGTCACTCAAAGTCTCAGACTCCTGAGAAAGCCAGTCATAGATCACACAAGCTTCCTGTTGAAGCTTTCTGATTGGCTACTGGTGACATCATTCAAGAGGTGCTATGCACTGCCTCTGAATGGAAACGTTCTGATGATGGCGATGATCCAGCAGTCCCAACATTCCAGGCCCTGGGCTGGGGTCCAACTGGTCCTTACAACAATGCAGCAAGAAACACGTCATTATATCCATTTACAGAGGAGGAAACTGAGGCTCAGAGAGGAGGAGTGATTCAGCCCCACATTCCAGAGTGGTGGCAGTGGGCTTGAGCCCAGCTTCCCTAGTGTCTTGGCTACTCCTCTATCTACCTGTTCATCCCTGAAACAGGTGAGGTAAGATAGTTGGGGCCAGACTGTGACTGATGCTACAAAGGAGTCATTGACTTAACAGGCCACCTGATGCCAAAGAATGGCCCCCACAGACCGTGATTCCTAGCGCACATGGATCAACCAACTGCCTGCGGCCAGCAGACTTGCACACACCTTTCACCCCAGTAGGAGCAGGCCTGGAGTCCAGCTTCTCATAAATGTGGGAGTAAGTGGGCGTAACACAGGTCTTACCCCAAGAGTTCCATCAGTCCTTGCAACTGAGCTTCGTGACCCACATGGTAACCATAGCAACAAGAAGCCAACCCTAAATGGAACCATTCTGGGCCACTCTGAACTTAGAAGCCAAGGTGAGGTCAGGGAATTCTGTCATCATGGAGGCATGACTCCATCCTGGGCTCAGCAAACTAAGGAGGCAGCTGCATCTACAATTGGCTTAAACTTAGAGAGATGCAAGCAAGTATTGCTGACTTCTAGATTTCTCCCTCACCATAATCATTCTGCCTGAATTTCCACCATTAGACTGAGACTTCTGCTGGCCCCTTAGGTTCCCTACTAAAATTCAAATCCACTTGGAAAGGTAATGCCTGCTATCTGCAATTAACATTTTAAAATATTAGCTTCTCCCAAGACTCAATCAGGAAGAAATAGAACTCCTGAACAGACCAATAATGAGCAATGAGATTGAAACAATAATCAAAAAGCTTGCAACAACAAAAAAGTCTTGGACTAGATGGATTCACAGCCAAATTTTACCAGACCTACAAAGAAGAGCTGGTACCCATACTGCAGAAATTATTCCATAACATTGAGAAGGAGGGAATCCTCCCCAGCTGATTGCATGTAGCCAGTTTCACCTTGACACACAAGCCAGGAAAGGACGCAACAGAAAAAGAAAACTATAGACTAATATCCTTATGAATATAGATGCAAAAATCATCTACTAGCAAGCCAAATTCAACAGCACATCAAAAAAATAATCCACCACGACCAAGAAGGCTTCACCCCAGGGATGATTCAAAATAAGTAAATCAATAAATGTTTTTTATGACATAAACAGAAGTAAAAACACAGACTATATGATCATTTCAACAGATGCAGAAAAAGCATTTGACAAAATCAAGCACCCTTTCATGATAAAAACCCACAACAAACTAGGCATAGAAGGAACATATCTGAAAATTATAAAATCCATGCGTGACAAACCCACAGCCAACATCATACAGAATGGGAAAAAGTTGAAAGCAGTCACACTAATAATTGGAACAGACAAGGGTGTCACTGTCACCACTTTTATTCAACATAGTGCTGGAAGCCCTAGCCAGAGCACTCAGGAAAGAGAAAGAAATAAAGAGTATCCAAATTGGGAAAGAGGAGGTCAAACTATTGCATTTTGCTGATAATAGGATCTTATATCTAGAAAACCCCAAAGACTCCACCAAGAGACTCCTGGAATTGATAAATAAGTTCAGCAAAGTCTCAGGTTACAAAATCAATGAACACAAATAAGTAGCATTCCTATACACCAATAATAGTCAAGCTGAGAGTCAAATCAAAGACTCAATACCATTCACAATAGCCACAAAGAAAATAAAATACCAAAGAATATTCTTAACCAAGAAGGTGAAAAATCTCTACAAAGAGAACTATGAAACACTGAGGAAAGAAATTGCAGACAACACAAACACATGGAAAAACATATCATGCTCATGGATCAGTAGAGTCAACATTGTTAAAGTGTCCATACAACACAAAGAGATTTACAGATTCAATGCAATCCCCATCAAAATACCAACATCATAGTTCACAGATCTAGAAAAAATAATTCTATGCTTTGTCTGGAACCAGAAAAGAGACTGAATATCCACAGCAATCTTAAGCAAAATGAACAAATCTGGAGGCATCACATTAACAGACTTCAAACTATAATATAAGGCTATAGTAACCCAAACAGCATGGTATTGGCACAAAAATAGAGACACAGACCAATGGAACAGAACATAGAATCTAGATATAAAACTAACCACATACAGCCAATCGATCTTTGACAAGGCAGACAGCAATATACACTGGGGGAAAGAAGCCCTATGCAATAAATGGTGCTGGGAGAATTGGTTAGCCAGAGCAGAAGAATAAAACAGGATCCATATCTCTCACCACTCACAAAAATTAATTCAAGATGGATAAAAGACTTAAATGTAAGGCATGAAATCATAAGAATTCTAGAAGAAAATGTTGGAAAATCTCTCCTAGATATCAGCCTAGGCAAAGAATTTATGAAGAGGACCCCAATGGAAATCACAGCAACAAGAAAAATAAATAAATGGGACTTGATTAAATTAAAAAGCTTCTGCACAGCTAAGGAAATAATCAACAGAGTGAATAGACAACCTACAGAATAGGAGAAAATATTCACAAGCTATGCACCCAATAAAGGACTAATAACCAGAATCTATAAAGAACGCAAGGAAATCATCAAGAAAAAAACAAACAACCCCATTAAAAAGTGTGCCAAAGACAAGAACAGAAGCTTTTGGAAACAAGATAGACAGATGGCCAATAAACATATGAAAAAAATGATCAATGTCACTAATCATCAGGAAAATGAAAATTAAAACCACAATGAGATATCACCTTACCTTAGTTAGAATGGCTTTTATTAAAAATTCCAAAAACAACAGATGTCAGCATGGATGCAGAGAGAATGGAATGCTTATACGCTGTTGGTGGGACTGCAGATTAGTACAACCTCTATGGAAAACAGTATGGAGATTCCTCAAAATACTACTAAAAGTAGACCTACCATTTGATCCAGCAATCCCACTACTGGGTATTTACCCAAAGGAAAAGAAATAATTTTATCAAAAAGACATGTGCACTCAAATGTTTATTTCGGCACAATTCACAATTGCCAAGGTGTGTAATCAACCCAAGTGCCCATTAATTCATGAGTGGATTAACAAAATGTGGTATATGTATACTATGGGATACTACTCAGCCATGAAGAAGTACAAATTAAGGTCTTTTGCAACAATTTGGATGGAACTGGAGATCATTATCCTAAGTGAAGTATCTAAAGAATGGAAAAACAAACACCACATGTACTCACTATTAAACTGGAAATAACCCATGAGCGCACATGTGCACAGAGGGAAGGGAAATGGAGCAGGGGGGAGGGCGGAGGAGGGGATGGGCAAAAACCTACCTAACGGGTACAATGAGCACTATCTGGTGATGGGCTCACCTATAACCCTGACTCAAGCATAACAAAAGTGATCCACATAACCAAAAACATTTCTACCCCGTAATATAATAAATAAACTTAAAAAAAAAGAAAAAATAAATTAATTAATTAGCTTCTGCCAAGAGATGGTAGCAGAGCAGAGGGCATCACAAGGCAGGTAAGTTCTGAGAGGAGGAAATGCATGCAGGATGAAACAGGTACCTTCCCAGGGGACATTGTGCAGAGGTGTGTAAGTCCCCGCAATGAGGGATTCTGCCAAAGGGGGTGAGGGAGAGACCAGAGTGATGGCACTTTTCTGATTACACAAATTCCAGAGTCCAGTCCCTTCACATCACAGAAAACGTCTCTCAGAACAGGAGTGGAACCCACAGGTGGGGACTATGAGGGTCACAGCTGGGAGAAACCTGGGGGATGATGGAGTCCACACCTCTCATTTTACAGATGGGGCCTGTCAGAGCTACTTTTTGGGATCAGGTGACCTGTTAAGTCCAAGGACTGACCTGAGACATCAGTCACTCTCTGGCCCAGAGAGACGGTGTCATTTGACAAGGTCACACAATTGACCAAAGTGGAGCTGAGCCCTTTTCCTGGCTGCAAAGGTCAGGTTTAGCGGGAGCACCCATGGGAAGGTGGAAAAGGAAACAGAGTAGGTACCAGTAAAAAGAAAATAAGGATATGCTAACAATCCCCAAAAGACTTTTTTTTTTTTCAGATGGAAAAGACAAGCTCAGGAAAGCTGAAGGGTAAATGAGACAAACAATGTTTAACGCAGATAAAGTCCAGTCTAAAATCCATGCCACCTCCATGGGAATGTAATGCTGCTTGCTACTTCTTGGAAAAGAGGCACCTTCAGCAAACCACATCTTGGCTCACTTAGGAATTTTTTCTGTATTTTATCCTTAGTCTTCTACAAGAGGCTGCTTTCCACATATTTTCCCTCTAAGACATTTCCCTTAGGGCTTGCTGGCTCAGAACAGGACCCCCGGACACCTTTACCCCACCAAGTGAGCTGAAGAACGTTGGACACGGCTGAGCTGTCCAGGGATAAAGGCATCACAGGTGCTGAGGTTTTGCAAAAGGAGGCCCATGAGTGCATGGGCCTGGGTACTGAGACAGGCTCCACCGTCACCTGGCAGTGACAGCATCCTAATGGGAAACCAAGTATGGGAACCACTGTGCAGATTCAAGATTGGCATCTTGGTGGTGCACAAGGCCCAGTCTCTGCCAGAATTGCTCCCACGATCTGAGAGTCCAAATCCTAAATGAGAAAGGCAGGGACTCCATCTTCTGGCCTCCTCATTCTCTTGCCCAATTCGTAACAATTGGCATAGATGGGAACCAGCATTCAGTCCATTTGGATGTACCAACCGTATCATCGTCCTCACCACGACAGGGCGATCTCACCCCCAGCCCAAGGACAAGGAATTGGGAGCTGAGAAGGGCGGAAAGGCCTGCCCAAGGTCACGAGAAAGAGGCACAGCTGGGATTTGAACCGGTGCTGGGCTGTCTTTACCCTCCTCAACAAGCTCTTCACTTGACAAGTGGGGATGTCGTGGCCCAGAAAGACCAAGAAAGTTGCCTGAGGTCCTTCGGTCAATTGGTAACATAGCTGAGGCTGGGCAAGAGAAAAGAACCATTTCTTGCCAAATTCTTGGGGAAACCAACAGGAATAAGATGTGAAGGGAGGGGGAGGAAAATTAAAGCACAACGAGGGAGTTAGGACCCATGGACAAGGAGTGACAGAAGTAACAGGGCTTAGGAGGAGAACCGGGAGCCCCCGAAGACTCCAGCAGCCCACCCTGGCACCCAGGTGATGGGACAGGACACAACTCACTTCTTCTGCTTCTTCTCCAGCTCGTGGTTGCGGCTTTGCTGGTTTTCCAGCAGGACACGAGTGTCCTCCAGGTCACAGGTGAGATGGTGGCTCTTCCTCTTCAGTTGGTGAGCTGTCTTCTTGGCCCCCTCGTAAGCACTCTGCAGCTCCGCGAGCTGTGGGAGTAACAGAATGAATTACCAGGCTCTGTTGGCGCTGAATAGGCTTTTAACTCGGTTTTTCCAGGAGCTGCCATTTCCAAGGTGCTTCATGGGAAGAGAGCAGAGCCTGGAGCTGGAGAGACCCTGTCTTGACAACTTTCCACCTGTTACCTCCAGGAAGCTATTTATCGGAGCCTTGGTTTGCTAAGAGGTAAAATGGGTATAATGCCATCAGTCTCTTAGGGTTGTTCTTACTTTTCCTCAATAAACCTCCTGCCAACACACTCACAGATCCTTTACCTGCCTGGCCTTAGCTTGATGGCCCCTGGAGCACTGGATGACTTGCTCCCCGATCAGCTTGTATAACGGAGGGAGATATTTGCCACGAAGCAGCCAAAATGGCGCACCTAGAAAATCTGACTGGGAAACCCAAGAGATAGACCTTGAAGGTTAAAGCAGCAAATGGCGCTTTGGGGAGGCTGAATTACACGGGAATGTGAACGGCCTTCAGCAAGCAGACAAGCAAAGTTTCTTGCATCTTCCTCCAGGAAACACCCTCCCAAACGTCCTAGTTTAGATCTGGGAAAGAGCGCAACTCAGCACACTCACTTTGAAGAAATGGTCTCATTAAAGAATTGCTTTAAATAAGCAAAACTCTGAGTTAATGAAGCCTGTAATTCTAAATTCAGTATTTGAAGGCAAATGGGATGTTTTCTTATATTCTGCTGCTCGGAAAAGGTTGCAGTGTTATTACTTTTTAATGTAGCATGAATATCCCCCTTCCTTAGGGAAACTGACCCAACTTCGTGATGTGTTATTAAGGAACTGGGCTATTTCCCTGCAGTTGTCTCTCTGTTTGTCTACACTTCAGGATGTCTCTCGAGGATGACAATATAATGTCCATCTTGAAGGCGACCATTCGAACCATCACCACCACCGTGGAGGATACTGCACCTCACTTCCATTGTTTGTAAATTCCCATGTGACCTCACCCTGGCTCACCTCTGCAAGGTGATTGTGTGACACTTTTCTCTCACACTGAGGACATAATAATAATTCTGGCAAATATGACCTCCACCCCTATGGCTCTTAAATGGAATGCGGGAGACCAAGAAATGAGCAGGTAATTACAATACAGCACAATAAGGCTTATAATTGGGGAAACTTCCAAATTTCCCAACACATTCTGCATCAGCAAAGACTTTCCGGAAAGAGTTACATGTAAGCAGAGATCTTAAGAATAGTTGGAGATATCTAGGCAGGAGAGAGAAAGAAAGACTCTTCTGGGAAGAAGAAACAGCATATGCAAAGGCCCAGTGGTAAGAAAGAATCAGACATTTTAGGAAGGAGAGGAAAAAAACCTGAGTGTGTTTGGAGTCAGCTGTGTGCTGGAGATGGCCGGTACCGGTTCAAGGGAGCTGGTTCTGTACGTCTCTTCCAAAGGTCATGTTCAGTGACAGCAAAATGGTAGTTTTAAATTGACCATGGTGGAAGTATTTACACCATGGAGATTGGCAAGTGCTGCAAATCAGGGCTCCCCCCATTCCCTGGAGAGCCATTTACTAGCATGTCATTGGTTAGAGTGTAGACAGGCCAGGATCTAAACCAGGGATAGCTGGAGGCAACGGAAGACAGGCAAAGAGGCCAAACTGTCACTACATTCATCTAGAAAGACTAGATAAGATGATAATATAGAGAGATAAGATTACATTAGATTTGTAATGTCTAGCCGCTCTTTCAAAAAGAAGGAAATCTTGAGATAAGAAAAATCCAGAGGACACAAAGTCATAAAAACAATAGTACATGCTGATATCATGGAAGCTGGGATGAAGGGGAAGAGGAGCTGTCAGATCCAAAAATATCCCTAAGGATAGAGGCTTGTGTTTAAATGCCGAGAGACAGGAGACAAGGCCTTGAGCTCATGGAAGGTGGGGAGTTGGGATGAAGACCCTGGCACTGTCAGGACCCTCAAAGAGATTCATCTGCTGTCCTGGAGGGTGTTAAGAAAGCCTGCCTCCCCCCCTGACTCTAGGTGTGGGAGAAAGTATTCCCGTAAGAAATCAGAACACCAGGTCTATGCCTCGCGTGGGTTTAGAGATCCAATTGACACTTCACATGTGTTGCAAAAATCTGACATTGAGAATTTAACTTTATCTCAGGGATCGCTGCAGGAGGAAGTGCAAAACCGTTTCTTCTAGAGGAACATGTCTACAACCCTGTTACAAAGGACTCTCATTAAAATTGATAAAAAGTAAAAATAAATTAAACTCTCCTGCTGCAGATGAACTCACAATAAAAAATAACTAAACACACACACACACACACACACACACACACACACACACACACAATTTACCATGAAGGAAGCATAAGACAAGGAACGTTCCACAACTCAGAACCCCTGGGACTACTGGAGTTTGAGCAGAGGGGCCTGTTGAAGATGAGCTCACAATCGAAATTTACAAAACACACAAGGAAAAAAATATACCACGAGCGTCAGCATACTTTTTGATCATAGAACAATCTGAAAGTAACTCTGAAAGACTCCTTGGCTGCAGTGTGCCAGGCGGTTGAGGGTAAAGGCCAGGGGCAAGGAGACCAGTTAGGAGACTGCTGCTCTGGTCTGGATGAGAGGTTGAGGTAGCAGATTAGGACAGAGGCAACAGGAATAGACAAAATGTGACTATTTTAAGAGCATGTGATAATCACGTTGTAGATGAGCAATCTGAGCTAAAGTGATTTCCAGGAGGTCCAAGCGGAGACGGAACTGCAAGTCAGGTATCCCGAGTTGATGTCCGTGCTCTTTGTAGCACAGAGCAGTCTCTCCCTAGATAGACGACCCAAAGGTAGCAAAAATATTTTCCATGTCCCACGGTGACCAGCATTTCCATCAGTGCAGGTGGAAGAACATGAAGTGGCTGGTGCTGTCTTTCTCCCTCCAAGGACTGGCCAACGCCAGGATTTCCCACAGCAGGGTGAGAACCTGCCCCTCCCTGACAGCCCTGCAGCCCATGGGGTCCACTACCTCTTACCTTCTGCTCCAGCTCTTTCCTGCACGTCAGCTCTGAGTCCAGCCTCTCCTCGCATTGCTGCAGACGCTTTCTGAGGAATTCGTTCTCCATCTGGGCACAGTCGAAGCGCATTTGCCACTCGTCTGCTGTTGGAGAGAGAGTGAGGGACACCAGGATGAGAGGCCGAGTGAGCGTAAGGTGGGAGTGTGAATGGCTCTCCTTCACTCTCCTGGCTCTTTGCACGCAACTTCACTATTCCTGGAGCTCCTGCACCTCAGCCTTGGACTAAGAAACTATGCTTTAAGTCCAACTTTTAAAAGACTCTTCCTCCAGGCAGCCTGTCCTGACTACCTCCAACTGTCTGAAGTTCTTGACTGCTCGGTGTTCTAGGATTGGTTACCTAATGCTATTCAACTGCCTCTACAAGTGCACTCATACCTGTCTTTTTCCAAGGAAATTCCATAATCCTTAAGGGCAAGGGAACTGTTTTAAGTCATCTCTGAGTCCTTCATATACTCTAGAAGAGTTCCCTACACACAGCAGATTGCCATACCTGTTGATTAGTGAACCTAATAAAATCATAAAAGGAATCATCCTGCTGACCATCCTCATGGTATGTAATCATTGACTGTTGCTTGAATTAACAAATAAATAAACTAGCAATAATTCAAGAGTCTACTAAATGTATAGCTATAGAGACACTGGTCACAAGATGTCTCCATAAGATAACATGGATACCAAATCCCTTGATTTGGTAAAAATCTCAAAAAAATATCATTTATTGGTTTGATTAAAACTGTTTGGCTGTATATAATGGGCTAGTTTAAGTTATGATGTCTTATCTTTTGACCATCTGAATAATAGAATAATGCCCCTTAAGTTAATGGAGCTGTGGAAAACATTCCACAGGAGACAGACTAAGATAGAGACTAACCACTTATTCTTCTATCATCCACCCATCCATTCATCCACCCATCCTTCCATCCATCCATCCAAACACTCACTGAGCACACCACTTTGTACCAGGCAAAAGGGATAAAGAAATGAATAAAAAGCAATTTCCACCTACCATCCAAGATAAATCTAGTGGAAGAGACACAAACATGTAAAAATATAGCTGCAACCTAGTATGACCAGGACTTTCATAAAGAAGCCTAAGGAAATTAAGGAGAGGACTCAAATTCAAAATGGCAACAAACTTGTTTTGTTCATCATTATGTTCCCAGAACATATTAATACTAATGCTTAGCATATAGTAAGTGCTCCATAAGTTTCATTGGCTAGGTGGATGGATGAGTGGGTAGATGAATGGTTGGATAAATGGTGGGGTAGAGGATTAACAGATAAATATTTGGGTAAATAGGTGGAATGGAGGATGGATGGATGTTAGGGTGGACAGATAGGTGGGTGCATAGATGAATGGATGGATAAATTGATAGATGGATGCATGAATAAATGGATTGATAAATGGATAGATAAATGAATGGTAGGTTAGATGGATAGGTGGGTGGGTGGATGGATGAATAGATGGCTGAATGAGTGTATGGATACATGGATGGATAGATGGATGAATGAATGAATGAAGAGATGAATGAATAAATGAATGGTAAGGTAGACAGGTGGATTGAGTGATGGATGGATGGATGGATGGCAGGATTAAGCTCTTGGAAGAGGTGACCCCAATAGAGATTTCCATATAACCAACCCAAAAGAAGGATGATATAATATCAATAGTAAAGAGTTAAAGCTTGTTCAAGTTTCCATCAAGGTAATAATATCATGATGGGAAAAGAATACTGTTTCTTCACCAGGAAGAAGTCTCACGGCAACAAGCAGCATGACCTGCAAAAGGAAGAGGAGGGAGCAGAAAGCATTTCCACAGCTGTGTGTTCCATGCCACGATGAGCTGCAGAGCAAGTGCCATGAGCAGGTGAGGAAACTGTTCTCCATCCTTCACGGCTCCTCTCCACCTCTGACTCCCCTGCCCACGGGTGCCACTCTAACTCAGTATGTGTAATTCAGCCTTTTACTACCTAATCACCTTTTTCCTGGGTGTATCTGATCTCTTCATTTATATAGCAAGTATCTTGCACGCAGGGCAAACTACTTCCGTAACCCCCACAGTGTCCAGCTTGGTGCTGGGTACATATCATAAAAGGTGCTCTTTAAATATTTATCCATGCATAAAGGAAAAAATATTTTTTAATAATTCATACTCCATCTTGAAACATAGAGGAGGCTGTGGTACCATTGCAGTGGTATAATTAAAATGTTTTATTGCTTCTTTCAACTTTCCTATATTTTAGAAAGTTTCTATAATGAGTATGTATTACTTTCATAATGAAAAACAAAATATTTGTGGGTTGGCTTCTTGGAATGAGCATCCGGAGATGAGAGCCTATATAGCATTGTGACTAATGTGCCCACCAGCTAAGCACATTTCTCCTGCTCATTAACTCCCTGTCTGTCCGCAAGAGACACACTGGGGAGCATCATTTAGACACGACTCTCAGTCAGATAAAACTGGCACTGGTGACGTTCCCGGGCAATTGCACTGCCCCATGCTGCCGGTTCTGTGCCAACATGGTACCCTCCTCCTACGTGTACCTACCTTGTTGGGTCTCCCATATCAGAAAACCTCAAACTCCTCTGTTAAACCTCCCTGGTAAGTACCTGCCCCGGGGGTAGCCAAGGTGGGAGGATGGAGCAGGAAGCAAATGCACCTTTTCTCTGCTCCACAGACCCCTGACCCTGTTTCTCAGAGTGTCTCTCACATCTCAATAGGCATACATTCTCCGGAAGGAATGATGCTAACATTTTATAAAAGCCGATATGCTGGGCTTTCTTCTCACCCAATTCTGTTAGGCTGGGGAGAGTAAGAGACACAGGGGCAAGTTGACAAAGATGTCAGCATCCAACACCTCCAACCGTGCTGGGATGAGTCTCTAGGCAACTGTATAAGAAGGGGACAGGGGACCCCCCAGAAGCTCCTGGCACTCCTGAGCAAATCTATCACTGGCAAGGCCTCAGTCCTCACACCTTCTCACCGTTCAACACCTGCCGAGTGCCCGATGCAGCTTCACCATCTGCAAAATGGGGACGGTAGTAGTTTCTGCTCCACGGGTGGTTGTGAAGATGGACAGTGATCTCATTAGTTCTTGCAATAATAATGATAAATCAGCTAATATCATGGCTATTCAGCACTCTGTGCCACACACATGGCTAAACACTCTCTATTGGTCATCGGAGACCATCTCCCCTTGAAAGATTAAGAAACTACGACACAATTGCTTTCCCCAAAGCCACCAGTCCGATCAGAGACAGAGTCGAAGTTCGAATCCAGAAATGTAACTTCATAGGTTCCACTTTTAACCACTGAACTGCCTTCCTCAAAACGTATTTTAAAAATATGCATATAAATGAAAAAGCGCCTTGTCCTTAGAGTCACTATTTTTTAAATCATTCTCTGAATCATTACTAAACAGCACCTGTCACACCGATGATTTGTTATTTGGGATCTATTGGATTATCCATATAATGTCTGCCTTCCATGACACTGTAAGCCCCAAGAGGGCAGAGGCTGTGTCTGTTTGCTCTGCCGACGTCCCAGCCCCTCATGCAGCGTCGAGCACCTACTGAACGCTCAGTGTGCGTCTATGAACGATGAATCAAATGAAAAGGCAGCTTTGCCCAGCAGCGTCCAGCCCCGAGGGTCCCAGGCTGCTCACCTCCTCCAGTGCGATCCCTTTCCAAGGCATGCAACTGAATTTTCTGCTGGGCTTCTTCCAGCTGTTTCTCCACTTCTCCCAGATTTTTCTGGACTTGCTCATACTTGCTCTGGAAGAAAGGGCTCAAGGTCCAAACCAGAGCTTGATAGAAGCCTGGGCTGGTCTTCTTAACCATGGCACCTCCAAAGCCAAGACTTAGGAAGACTCAAATGTTCCCCAGGCCCTTGAGCATGGGAGTCAGTCAACCTGTGCATCCTGCTTGGGCACACTGATCGCAGATGTGAGCAAGGGGGGCAGGCCCACCTCCTCCCAGCCACCCCGACCACTCACCTTGAGCTCCTGGACCTCCCGGAAGGCCTGGAGCCGCTCTGCCCGCTCACCCTCCAGCACCTGGCAGGCCACGTCCCCTTTGAAGCGCTCATCAGCGAGCTCCGTGGTCAAGTCAGCAATCTGGGAGTGGAGATGGGGGCGTTGAGGAAGGGTCACTCATTGGTGCCTGTCTCCCCCCACACACTCCACAGGACCACCCTCGGACAAACCCTTGGCTATCATGGAACAGCAACCCTTGGGTAGAGCCAAGTGGTTAAGAGCACAGACCAGAATTTTACTGGTCTTGGTGTGGTAGAACTCTCGGTCCAACACTCCGTAACCGTGTGACTTTAAACCAAGCAGGAGTCCTATCTGATTCTCAGTTTTCTCAATGTCAAAGCCGGAGAGATAACTTGCAGAATTGTTTTGAGGGTTACGTGTGATAACCCATAGGAAGTTTAGCACTGTGCCTGGCACATGGTAGGTGCTCAATTTAAAAAATAGCTCATTTTAAGAGAATATCTTCTTAACCATCTCACTGGACTGACCAACACCGTCTCTCAGTAAAACACACCAATGACTGCCCACCACGCCGGAATGCTCTTAGGCAGACCTCACCTGTCTACAGTTCCCTGGGGCTCATCCGCCCCTACCAGGGGACAGCCATGCACATCCAGGGTCTTACTATTATTCCAGAATATTACAAGGGCACAAACAGTTCAGTTACATAATTTGCTTCTGCACAGTTTGAGTCAAAGTTATAAGTGTGCATCGTACCCGTTAGGTGTGAACTTACCCGTCCCCTCCACCTCCTCCCACCTGCCTGATTTCCGTTGAGCTTATTTCCATATGTGCACATAAGTGTTGATCAATTAGCTCCAATTGAGTACTGAGTACATGTGGTGCTTGTTTTTCCATTCTTGCGATACTTTCACTTAGAAGAATGGTCTCCATTTCCATCCAGGTTAAGAACTCAAGCAAATCAACCAGGATCATTTTTTTCTGTGCTCCCAACCTGTTTTTTTTTTTTTTTCCTGTTGCATTTTTACTGTAATTATCTATTCAGCTAGCTATTACATAAACCTTTAAAATAAGACTGGACAAAGAGTTTCCATGAAAACTAGGTTAAACACTTCGGAATAAAAAAAAAAAAAAACGTTGCCAAAGAAATGTAGTGCAACAACTTAAAAAAAAAAAACCAAAAAACCTGGAAGTAAAAAATTAGGTTTCTACATTCAAATTGCTTTGCCATTTGCTCTGTTATAAAGAAGTCAAAACTGGAAATCATGGCTGTGTATTAGGAGTGTGGTGTAAGAAAGAAAAAAGTGAAACTCGAGTTAGAAGCTCATACTCAAAAGGATGTACTCCTACCTTAGAAATGCGGTAATTTAATTCATATGTGTTTTAAGTTAAAAATAGAATTTTTTTTAATGAATTCCCACTTGTATTGATTTTTTTTTTTCCCAATTAACTGACCAAACCCACATGGTAAATGGGTCAGAACTTCTGCGGGATGGTTGTTCTAAAATGCAACCTTCAGGGTTTGAGGAGGTGCCAAAGAAAGTAAGGACAGAAATATGTTAGTGAAGTGTTCATGGCCAAGAGGCTCAGACACAGCCTTGCATAGAGGAGAGGTGGATCACGAAACTGAGGCTACCTCTTACAAGAGGCAGTGGCTAAAGTTAAGAGGCAGGAATTTTTTTAAAAGAGGTTGGGTAGAGGGTTCAAGACCAGGTTCAACAACTAATCTGCTACGTGATCCTGGGCAGTCCCTTCCCCTCTGGGGCGTTGGTCACCTGGGCTGTAAAATGCACTGGATTGGGTGAGGTCACATATCCTCCTGGTGTGTCCGTTCTATGCCGTGAATGTTGTGTTTGAAGATGTCAAAACACCTCACTCTCCCACCGGACCCTCTGTGTCATGGCTGGTACTTAGGGGCGACCGTGGGGTGTTTTCACACAGAAGCTGAATGGTCTATTACAACGTGGAATGTAGCTGCCCTTTAAAACTAGTCTCTGTCGATACATCAGCTCACAAGCTGTCTCAAAATTTACTCAGCTGCCCAATGAAGAAGGAAGACCCAGATCTACATGTTCTGACATTTTAAAAAAAAAATCCCCAAATACATTGCCAAAGGGGAGAAAAAGCAAAGTTGCAGAATAGAATATTTGGCATGATCTCATTTTAATTTGTACTTGCACAGAACAAAGCACTCCCAAACTGCTAAAAGCAATTTCTTTTCCCCTCTGGAAGAATGGACTCAAGGGGACTCCATTTTCCTTCTGATGCATCTCTGTATTGTTGATTTTTTTTTGACACTTTGCAATCAGAAAACAAATGAGAAAATAAACAAACAAAATAAAAATCTTTTTAAAAGAGCCAAAAAAAATAGTTGTGCTCCAAAAACTGGGGCTGCTTGGTGTATTCTATGCTCCCCACCTGCTTCCCTCTCCCAGCCCATCTTCTTCCCACCTTGTCAACTGTATCAATGATTGCTCAGCCCAAAACGCAGATTTCAACAGAAACAGAGAAAAAAGGAGGCTTGGGGAAGTTGCACAGCAAGTAAGTGGCAGAGCTGAGATTTGAACCCAGACCTGTTAGATCCAAGACATGGCCATCAGCGACTGAATGGGGGTGCTCTCCCGGGGTGTTCCTGGTTGTTTGGCAATGACACATCTTTTTGCTACTCCTACACTGTTGTTTTTAAAGTGCACTGGGGAAGTCCTTGAATGACCTGGGATGGTTGTTAAAATGCAGATTCCTGGGCCCTCAGCTCCCCAAAACCAGAATCCCTGAGGCAGAATCCAAGAATCTGCACTTCAACACGTTCCAGGGTGATTCTTTTGCACAATGCAATTGTGCATTCTTTGCACAATGCAAAGAATTACTGCCGTGGAAATGGTCAAGGTCTCCTCCTAAGTTTGGCCTCACATTTTGCTTTGGGTGGTTTATATTTGCTTACGGCCATGCAAAATCACTCTTGCTGGAACAGTGCTGAGATGCACACAGTGCACGCTGGTGTAGTCCAGGAATGCCGTGGATCACACCTCCAACCCCCCCACCACCCCCATCCCTGAAATCAGCATTCATTCCGAGCACCGAGACTGTGTTCTCCCCCCCTTAGCCAATTAGCGTGAAACTTAATTTGTGCTAATCAGACGGAGCAAGGGGAGCACAAAATTAATTTAATGCATTAATTTTGAGTTTCACAGAACCCAAAGTCTGGAGCCCAAAGGACAATCGGTCCTTTCAAATTGGGGAAATGACAGATGCTTTTCACGGAGACAAGTAGCCCCTGATCTTCCCTTGTCCCCACAAATCCCTCTCCCTTCCCACACGGTGGGGCCCGGAGTGGGCACCATGCCCGGAGCTGTTAGGGGAATGCAAAATGAAAACCAACTTAATGAGGGGGAGAGCCAGGTTCACAAACCCAGAAGGGTCCCTGCAGATTAGTCAAGGACCAATTAACTAGAAATTATCTTGAAAACCTCCCTGGATCTACCACTTGGCCAAATCAGCAGAAATATTCTTTCTACTCATCAGCAATGACTCCACGGGCCTGCTAGAGAGAAGGGGACAGGAATGAATGAATTTGCTGTAAATTTTGTAGCGAGTCTAAGAGAAATAATACGTCCTGTGTACTGGCACCATTTGCAGCTTGGGAGAGCAGTGAGTAACTGGGATTTGATGGACATTAAGTGCTGGCGCTGTCACTGTTGCTTGTTATTTATGGATCTGACAAGCACTCTATGAGCACCTACTGTGTACCAGGCCCTGCTCTGAAAGACCCCACTGTGCAGCTGGAGAGACAAATAAACCACAGGGGCACACATGGGCCTTGGCTTGACCCTATTCTCAGCTCTTATATTCAAGGGCTCTTGAGCCCAAAAACCCTCTGACCCGCAGACAGCAGTAAACAGTGACCTTTCCTCTTCTCCTGCATGTTTCAATTAGCACAGGAAGGATCTGTTCATTACAACTCCTAGCATGAGACACAGCTCACACTCTTGGAAAGCTGGGCGTGGATCATCACTGAGCTGCTCTGTACATGTTACCTTCTTTAAGTGCATCACATACCTTATGAGGAGGGTATTTTTGTTATTCCCTTTTTACAGAGCAGGAAACTGAGGCATGGGAAGGAGAATGATTTGCTAAGGCTCAGAGACGGTAAGTAGCAGAGGCAGTTCAGCCCAGGTGGCCCATCCCCCGGCTCTTAACCACCCTGCCCTCTTCCATCTCACATCCACCATCTGACTCAGCGCCCCCACCCCCAGGCCCGGAGGTCAGCAAAGCAGGAGCCATTGTCCTCCTGGAATAGACCAAGAAGCCACAGCTCAGGGAGGCGAGCTTAGAGCCAGCAAGGTACAGACAAGGCCAGACGAGATCTGGACCTCAACCCCCTTGCTGGGCTTTGGCCAAAGGGGGCCTACGTGGACACCCAGGGAAAGGAAGCCCCCACCCCTGTCCCCATCAACCTGAGCGAGGAAAAGGGAAAATGAGTCAGTAAATGATGGGCCAGCCCAACTGCAGCCCCAGCTGGCTTCGTGTGCTGTTTGTCAAGGAGATTAAGCTATGGATGGCTTCGGTCTCATGGTACTGCCCTCTGAGCTGTCTCAGGCAGCGGGGGAAATTCAGAACAAATCTCCAGCTTAGTGTCAGGCTCTGGGACTCCCCAGAGCACACGCTGGGCATCAATTCAGACATCACCCCGTGCCTTCTTCCCTTCCAGGGAGGAATCCCAGCTGGGCACACCACCCACTACTAAGTAATAGTAATAGACAGTAACCATAATAATAATCACCATCACTGGCATAGGTTCACCCACAGAACCCTCCCAGTGCTCGGAGGTGGGTACTGATATTGTCTCCAGGCTGCAGATGAGGAAACTGAGGCACCAAGGTGCAGACACTCACCCAAGGACACCAGCCAGCTGGTGGCTACGGAGCCCTCACTCTTAATCACTCCCCAATCTGCCTCCTGGGGACTCAAAGAATATGTGTTGAATGAACTAATCTATGAAAGAAATCTAAACAGGTGCCAGCTCTACAGCCTCTGGCATGTCGGCGGAAACGGGGCCACTCTGGTAAGAATGCCGGCGGAAGGGTCATGCCGCTGAGCGGGCCATGTGGAGGTGACACAGC